TCAAACTTGTGTAAAGGGTTTCACGCTTTGGCAAGAGACCTCGCGCTTTCTTATGGTCGGGGATTCAGGAGCTCGACGCACGCATTCCTCGCCAAGGGTATTGCGAGCGTATCCGTAATACACATTTACTTGCGACTTCGATTCGAGAGCGCGATCTCCCGAAAGGGTTGCGTAGGGAAGCAGCAAAGACGCTACTAGTAACAAAGGGCATCGCTACTAGGAGCAAGGACGCTACTAGTAGCTCCTGGCCTTACTACTAGTAACAAGAAGCTAGTAGGTTCTTTTCGGGCCCGCGCAACTCGCATTTGACCTCAGCTTCGCGACTTCAATACGCGTGACTCATGCAGAAAGGATTGCGAAAGTTGCATATTGCTATTGAATCGCTCAAAATTTCTACGTCTATTGAAGCTATTACGTTGGAGGCCATCAGCGATGTCACAAAAGGTTCACTTTCCTGGCGTCTCGTCCGCCCCACCCCGTGCCTCGAGAGAAGTAAAAGAAGAAGGAAAACGTGCAGATCTGCAGGCGTTTTGTGTTTGTGCTTTTTGCGCGCGCCGACGTCATTCCATGGCTAGCAAGTCGCGCCGTTCCCTGATTGTATGAAACCCATTTGACAACATCATGAGAAGAAATCGTGATGCTGCAACCTTGACCGTTTGTAGAACTTCCGACGCTTGCGTAGGGAACGCGTTGGAACATTCTTTGCGCTAAAGGGTTTTCTTTGGCGACCTTTCTGCAAACAACATGCGATTCAGAAGAAGCTTGTGAAGGCTGCTGGCGCGGATGTGAGAGAATTGGCACATGAATAGTGATGTAGGCATACTATCATGGTCGCGTGCGCATGCTGTCATGGTTGCGTGCGCATAAACGCATCTGCGTCTGCGCAAAGAAAAGATGTTTTGCCTTGATTTCAGCCTTGTTGGTTCTTTCACTTGCGAAGCACTGCGCATTTGTATGAACATGTGTGAAGTGTGAAATTCAATCACGCTCACTTGTTCTCGAACAATCTTGCTTGTTTCATACGCAAGCTAATGGTGATGTAGGCATGCCATCGTAGTGGCCTCCGCATACTGTCATGGTTCATGTGCATATACGCATATGCGTATGCGCAGACCACCCTTAGCCATTTGAACATATCCTATCTGAATTCAGTCTTGTTGATTCCGACCCTTGCGAAGCACTGTGCACAGTTTTGATTGAAGATGTTTGAAGTATATTCAGCCATGCTTACTTATTCTCCAACAATCTTCTTTGTTTCACCCCGATACGCCGACACATGCGTGGTGATGCAGGCATGCTATCGTGGCGGCGTCCGCATGCTGTCATGGTTGCGTGCGCATATACGCATATGCGTACGCGCAGACCACAATTTGCAATTTGAAAATATCCTGTTTGAATTCAGTCTTGTTGATTCCGACACTTGCGAAGCACTGTGCACGGTTTTGTTTGAAGATGCTTGACGTATATTCAGCCACGCTGACTTATTCTCTGACAATCTTGCTTGCTTTACGCCGATACGCTGGCGCATGCGTATATGTAGGCATGCTATCACGGTCGCGTGCGCATGCTGTCATGGTGGCATGCGCATATGCGCATAAACATATGCGCGTATTCCATATCTTTGGACGTGCAAAGTTCCTCATTGTTTTCTTGTCAATTTTTGTGCGAGGGCGGATTCTGTCGGCAGTGCTTCGTGTCAGGTGCTGTGTTGAAATTTGATGAAAATCATCGTTTTCCATGTCGTGATAGACAGTATTGCTGGCGTGACTACTTCTCACAAGGAACTTTTGTAGATGGTCGAACGCAGACAGACTTGGTCACGATTTTTGATAGGCAGTATGTTTTGTTAGCTTGCAAAGTTTCAGGTCCGAGCTAAAACCTTTCCAAGGTCAGGTTCGCAGAACCTTCGGCGTGTGTTTTCGCAAATTAAACTGCTTCTAAAAGATTGATAGCTTGTTTTTCTACATAGAAAAAGCAAATAAATACGCTTGGCGAATATTGCGACTCCCAAAGATTGTTCGACAGCTTCTTGCTGGAGGGTGGGGAGGTAGGGCGTTCAATTAAATCGAATTTTAAGATGATGTGCCTTTTACATTTTCTAGGCAAATGCTGACGCCAAGGCTTCTTTGTGAGCAGTGGCTAATTGAAGCACTGCAGCTTTGCTTTTGAAGCCCGCTGGGCTAGCTTTGCGAGCAACAGCTCAAGCCAATGGTTTTGACACCGGGGCCAACGTTTCTGTTATGTGTCATACAGAAACCCAACAATACAAGTAGCAAGGAAAAAGGCTTGCCCGTTGTATGCCCCCTAATGATTCATAACTAAGAGTGTTTTCCATTACGTAAAGATCAGAAAGCTTTCCTTTATTTCAACCAGATCATCTTCTTTCTAGGATCGTCTATTCAATAACATCTTGGTAGCGTTTCACTGTTCAAACAGAAACCTTTTGAAGCATGAAATTGCCCCGCCACAAAATCTTCTGACCGGCGATGATCTTTCTCCGATGTGGATATAAGAACAAGAAAATCTGGTTCTGGCTGCAAAAATGCGAAAGAAATTCGTCGACTGGAGAGCCATGAGAAGCTCCCGAAACAATCTCAGAAAGCTGGGGCTAACAATTGCTGCTGTTGGGTTGCAAAGCTGGGCTAATACATACATACTGTACTTACTTATTTACTTACTTACATACTTGCTTACGCGCGTACTTACGTACTTCCTTACCTAC